TATCGACCTAAGTGTCGATTAGCGAACCTCAATTGCCCACTTAATCGGGAAACTCATGATTCTCGATTGTTCGTTTGGGAAAATTGGGAAAATCCTTTGATTCTGGCATTCTATGCCTGCATTGTTTCGATTGTCTCCCGCCTTTGAATTCGGCTTCTATGTTACCATTGTTGAACTCATCAAAATGCCGATCCATTGTTACACAATTGGCAACAATTCTACATATATATATATATATATATATATATATATATCTATATATATGGATGCCCATCGAGCTGAGCAAAATCCCCCCTTCATGTACTCATTCTTCGTACATAAAAATAGCACGGCTTTTGCAATGTACGAAGAATGTGGAGGAATGGTACTTCGATATTATGAATTGGCGATGTGGACAAAACTGATGATGATGATGATTGATGATGATGATTATAATGATGATGATTGATGATGATGATTGATGATTGATGATTATGATGATGATGATTATAATGATGGTGATTATGATGACGACGATGACAATGATGACGACAACGAAGATTCCAAATGTATTAAAAGTCTGAACTTTTCTAGATGCGCTTCCAGTCTGTTTCCCAGACAACTAAGAACCTTTATGTTTTATGAGAATGCCTAAAAAAACGGCGGCACAAGCTATGACGCAGCAACTTTACACAACTCATATATTGGGGCTCTGTGAGTGGGACCTAACTGGGATTTTGTTTTTTTGATATGACGAAGGACATTTTTTGCTTGATAGCATAACACGAAAAATTATTTTTATTCGGTTGCTTTATCAAAATGCGTTTCGCATATTTACAGTTTCTTGATAAACGGCGGGAACTGCTATGACGCAGTAAGTTTACAAACCCAGATCTTTTGATTCCACTATCAACCTTTGCAAGAAGGAGAAATCGATGCGTGCCTAACGATCTCTAACGACCAGCGCTGACAAAATGGTTCCAGCATAATGATCTCGCGGCAGTGCAATTACTTGATTACGAAGGGGAATCTTTCGTACGTAATTGTGAGCAGCAAAACTTTTAATTTCGTAAACTTCCTAGTTGCGAGTGCAAAGATTTCTTCAATTCGGCAATTGAACCGTTTGATTAAGAAATGTAGTCACAGTTCCCCAAATGATTAATTGATCATTCTCGTAACTGTTAGTCTGACAGACTTTTAACAAATTCCCGTTGTTTCTATGTTTTTCCTACACCAAACTACCTTATCCAACGGGGTCTGAAGAATTTGGAATGAATTTTGGATAAACCCTAGAGAAAACTGGAAAGTACCTGCAAGCATTTTGCGACAATTTTGCATAGCCTGGAAACTTTCGAATAACTTTCACCGACTTTGCAAAACTTGCGAAAAACTAAACAGATTTCTGATACTTGCAATATATTCGAATTTCCCGCCCTTGCTTCAGACTCTTTAAATGTCCCGAGTTCCTTGCATGAAAGTTAATTCTTGCAGAAACTCGTGAAACGTGAAATCGCATATTCCCGCACTTTCTTTTGTATCCCACATAGCAAATTGCAAATTATACGTCTAATTACGTTGACGCTTGACAGGATGAAAGCACCATTCTCGATTACGAGAAGTTTCTGATCTACCGTTCAACATGCACGTGCAGAACCAATTTTAACTGCCCAACGTCACGAGCAAAACTAAAAGTGATTGGTCGAATCTAAGAGGATGACCACAAAGGGGATCTCAGGCTAGCAGCCGAACCCAATTTAATAGCACGATTATAGACCTAAGTGTCGATTAGCGAACCTCAATTGACCACTTATTCGGGAAACTCACGATTCTCGATTGTTCGTTTGGGAAAATTGGGAAAATCCTTTGATTTTGGCATTCTATGCCTGCATTGTTTCGATTGTCTCCCGCCTTTGAATTCGGCTTCTATGTTTCCATTGTTGAACTCATCAAAATGCCGATCCATTGTTACACAATTGGCAACAATTCTACATATATATATATATATATATATATGGATGCCCATCGAGCTGAGCAAAATCCCCCCTTCATGTACTCATTCTTCGTACATAAAAATAGCACGGCTTTTGCAATGTACGAAGAATATGGAGGAATGGTACTTCGATATTATGAATAGGTGATGATGCCGAAACTGATGATGATGATGATGATGATGATGATGATGATGATGATGATGATGATTTATTGATGATGATGATGATGATTGATGATTATGATTATGATGATGATCGATGATGATTATGATTGATGATGATGATTGATGATGATGATTATGATGACAAAGATGACAATGATGACGACAACGAAAATTCCAAAAGTATTGAAAGTCTAAACTTTTCTAGATGCGCTTCCAGTCTGTTTCCCAGACAACTAAGAACCTTTATGCTTTATGAGAATGCGATTCACAGACTTAAAATACCTAAAAAGCGGTGGCACGAGCTATGACTCGCCAAGATTACAGAACTCATTTATTGGGGCTCTGTGAGTGGAACCTAACTGGGAATTGGTTTTTTTATTTGACGAAGGACATTTTTCGCTTGATAACATAACACGAATAATTATTCTTATTCGGTTGCTTCTCAAAATGCGTTTCGCATCTTTACAGTTTCTTTATAAACGGCGGGGACGGCTATGACGCAGCAAGTTTCCAGATCTTTGGATTCCGCTGTCAACCTTTGCAGAAGGAGAAATCGATGCGTGCCTAACGATCCCTAACGACCCGCGCTGACAAAACGGTTCCAGCATAATGATCTCACTGCAGCGCAATTACTTGATTACGAAGTGGAATCTTTCGTACGTAATTGTGAGCAGCTAAAGTCTAAATTTCGTAAAGTTCCTAGTTGCGAGTGCAAAGATTTCTTCAACTCGGCAATTCAACTATTTGATTAAGAAAGGTAGTCACAGATCCCCATATTATTAATTGATCATTCTTGTAACTGTTGGTCTGACAGACGTTTGACAAATTTCCATTGTTTCTATGTTTTTCCTACACCAAACTACCTTATCAAACGGGGTCTGAAGAATTTCGAATGAATTTTGGATCAACTCCAGATAAAATTGAAAACTCCCTGCAAGTATTTTGCGACAATTTTGCATAGCCTGGAAACATTCGAATAACTTTCACCAACTTTGCAAAATTTGCGAAAAACTAAACAGATTTCTAACACTTGCAATATATTCGAATTTCCCGCCCTTGCCTCAGACTCTTTAAAAATGTCCCATGTTCCTTTCCACGTCTCATGCATGAAAGTTATTTCTTGAAGAAACTCGTGAAATCGCATATTCCTGCATTTTCTTTTGTATCCCACATAGCAAATTGCAAATTATACGTCTAATTACGTTGACGCTTGACAGGATGAAAGCACCATTCTCGATTACGAGAAGTTTCTGATCTATTCTGGCTACCGTTCAACATGCACGTGCAGAACCAATTATAACAGCACAACCTCACTAGCAAAACTGAAGGCCATTGGTCAAATCGAAGAGGATGACCACAAAGGGGATCTCACGCTAGCAGCCGAACCCAATTTAATAGCACGATTATAGACCTAAGTGTCGATTAGCGAACCTCAATTGCCCACTTAATCGGGAAACTCACGATTCTCGATTGTTCGTTTGGGAAAATTGGGAAAATCCTTTGATTTTGGAATTCTATGCCTGCATTGTTTCGATTGTCTCCCGCCTTTGAATTCGGCTTCTATATTTCCATTGTTGAACTCATCAAAATGCCGATCCATTGTTACACAATTGGCAACAATTCTACATATATATAAATATATATATATATATGGATGCCCATCGAGCCGAGCAAAATCCCCCCTTCATGTACTCATTCTTCGTACATAAAAATAGCACGGCTTTTGCAATGTACGAAGAATGTGGAGGAATGGTACTTCGATATTATGAATTGGCGATGTGGACAAAACTGATGATGACGATGATTGATGATTATGATGATGATTATGATGATGATTGATGATGATTGATGATTATGATTATGATGATGATTGATGATGATGATTATGATGATGATTGATGATGATTGATGATGATGATGATGATGACGATGATTGATGATGATGATTATGATGACGACGATGACAATGATGACGACAACAAAGATTCCAAAAGTATTGAAAGTCTGAACCTTTCTAGATGCGCTTCAAGTTTGTTTCCCAGACAACTCAGAACCTTTATGCTTTATGAGATTGCGATTCACAGACTTAAAATACCTAAAAAACGGTGGCACGAGCTATGACTCGCCAAGATTACAGAACTCATTTATTGGGGCTCTGTGAGTGGAACCTAACTGGGAATCTGTTTTTTTATTTGACGAAGGACATTTTTTGCTTGATAACATAACACGAATAATTATTCTTATTCGGTTCCTTTATCAAAATGCGTTTCGCAGATTTACACTTTATTGATAAACAGCGGGGAATGCTATGACGCAGTAAGTTTACCAAACCCAGATCTTTGAATTCCACTATCAACCTTTGCAAGAAGGAGAAATCGATGCGTGCCTAACGAACCCTAACGACCCGCGCTGACAAAACGGTTCCAGCATAATGATCTCGCGGCAGTGCAATTACTTGATTACGAAGGGGAATCTTTCGTACGTAATTATGAGCAGCCAAACTTTTAATTTCGTAAACTTCCTAGTTGCGAGTGCAAAGATTTCTTCAACTCGGCAGTTCAACTATTTGATGAAGAAATGTAGTCACAGATCCCAAGATTATTAATTGATTATTCTCGTAACTGTTGGTCTGACCTCACACGATCCAAATTTCTATTTTTTTTTACGTTATTCCTGCACCAAACTATCTTATCCAACATATTGACCCTTTCTTTAAAAAAAATATGGGGTCTGAAAAATTTCGAATGAATTTTGGATCAACCCCAG